CTTAACGTTATGGTTTTAAAATGTACCAAAAAAATGTAGTATAAAAAAAATAAAAAATGAGTAAAAAAATTGTTGTAACCTTGTTTTGTGACTGAAACAATAATCTAATTTATGAAAATTAGCTTTTTATTATATTATTGCTTCAGTCACAAAGTTTCAAAGTAACTAACATGTTTCTAACTACCGTTATAACAACAGTTAGAACCTTGTCATAGTAAGAATATGATTATTTCACTATGACAAGGTTCTAACTGCGTTTTGGGGGTATTCATTTTTCTATAAAGAGTGAAACATTTTTTAATAAAAAATAGTAATACTTATAGCAAATACTTATGTTATCATGAGTAAAAAATATTATCGATGAATTTTAATAAATTTTGATGGGAGGAACGTAACAATTTTTAACATTGATTTGCTCAAAACTATTCGCGGATCAGTTAGAACCTAGTCAAACCAACGCGACGATTTCTTTTAAACACATTCTTACAATATTTTTTTACCACATTTTATGAATATACTAACTACATACAGATTTAGTTTATGTGTTTTACCATGACAGTACACCATTTTACTGGCATGAAAACATTCTTGGTTTTAACAAAGCCAAGTCACATTAAAGCAAAGTAAACCACTTGGCTAACAAGATCAACACTCTTACTGTAAACTTAGCCAAGCCACAATAACTTGAAACCATGCAAATAATATAATAAACACCTAAAAACTAAACACATAACATTATAACACATCACAGACATAAAAACACTTCATATATAAAAGATATTTACACACTTACAAAATATAAACCAATTTAACCTTAACACATATAAACACATAATAAATAACACATAAATATAAATAAATATAAAAATTAAGAAAAATATATAAATTAGAAACTTTACAAATACAACCTATTTTTGTAATATTTGTTTAATCATTAAACAAATATTAATACTAAATAAACTAAACTTTTATTATATACCTCGTAATAAATGTTTAACAACTTCGATAAACAAACGATCAAAGATCTTGTTTTTTATATTATAAAAGCAAACAGATTTTTTTTTAACTTCTTTAAAATAAGGTATTAAACTATCGTGTTCCTTAACATGTAACATAGAATTGATTGTGTGAGATGCAAGGATTTTGGAGATAAAAACTAACTTTATCAAGTGTTTGATCTCTTGACATTTAAAAAGAGCAACGTCTTCTGCAGTCATCATCGTCTACTAATTTAAAAATTACAGATTAACAGTAATAATACGTCAAAGAACATAAGCAAAAATTTGATAAGTTATTTTAGGTGCTCCAAAAAACCCTATCGGTGTTGTCAAGGAGTACCGCGGAAGTTCATTTAACCAGAAAGTTCACGCCTTCTTACCGTGGCATGAAATATGTCTAAAGCTCGTTTCGAACATGAATCTCCTGCTTATAAAGCAAGCGCTCTAACCACTGCGCTTGATTTTTTGAAATAATATTTATCTGAAATAATATTTATCTGATAATATATTTCTGAAATATGATTTTGTATAATAAATATATAAAGTGTAATATATAATAAGTATATACTTTAGATACAATTAACAAAGAACTTGAATTGTGTTATTATTATAATGCATTAAATAAATTTCCTCACTTCAAAAGTTACTTTACGAATTCAAAAATAACATAAGGTTCATCCTTTACTACAGAAATTATGAAATAAAAATTGTCGATCTTATCACTAATAAAGCTGATGAAGAAAGGTTTTTGATCTTATTACTGATTAGACAGATATTACCAGCTCATAAAGATTTAAGAGTACCTCATCGCGGGGTCAAAAGTATTAAGAGAAAAAGCATGCTAAATTCTATTTATACTAAAACTCCGTGTAAACGTGCATGAATGGCTTACAGCAGCAGCAACAGCGTTATATTAAGTATTAGTTATAAGCGGTGACAATGACTATTCAGTTATTTTTGAATATCTTTTATTTTTTTTATTGACAATTTTTAAAAATTAACTTTTTGGCTGCCTAAATTAATCAAATACCCCACTGTACGACGTTTGTAGTGTTGTGTAAATTGGTCAGCTGAATTAACAGTCTTAAAAATAATTCTCATCCATAAATATCAATAGTTATTTAATAATATAAATTGCTCTTGGGTAATATAATTTTATTTATATGCTCCTGGGTAATATAATTGATAATGTTATCAGGCATTTTATGAAGCTAGTTTGTTGATTACAAAAGTTGATTAATTTATATTATTATTTATTACAACAATTATTGTTTAAAAACTTGCACATTTTTCTATTAAGTAAATAAAAAATGGTCATTTAAACTATGATTTAACTTTAATTCTTACTATTTCCGGTCCTTTTTATATTTAAGCCATCACTTATTCAGAGTTTTTTTTTTGTTTTTTTTTAGTTTCTTAGTTACGCTAAGATCCGGATTAAGGCTTTGTTGGCCCTTAGGCACATTTTAATAAGTGGCCTGAAAATACAGATAATACGGACTTTCCCACAAAAAGAAGAATAGTAAAATTTAAAAAATAATATTTATTAGGCAAAAAACTACATTATTTAAATTTTTCAGCATGTCCAAATTCAAATGCAATTTTTGCAGCCTCTTTCTTGTGATCAATACCTACCTGAGATGTTGATGAGAATGGTGGGAAATTGAGAGTAATATTATTAGTAGCATCAACTTTGTTCGTGGTAGTGAAAAATGTATTGATTTTGGGTATTTTCTTTAACAGCTTATCTTCATCATGAATTTTCTTCTCTAACTCCTTCGCTCGTTCCCAACCACCTTTACGTGTCGACATTAGTCTAAAAGTAAAACGTAAAAGTAATCTTTAAAAACATTTTTTATGTATTCAATAGCATAATTATTTGATTTAAAAATAATTGATTCATAAAGTCATATCATAAGTTGATGTAAAAATTTAAAAATTGATTTCTTGTGAACTGCATGATAAGAACATACAAAACCGATATATAATATAGATTTTGATATTCGAAATAATAACTTAAAATCAAACTACCAGTATACTAGAAGAAAGTCATTTAATGAATTTGGTTTTGAACTACCATAATAAACACCAATTGTGAATTCAGATGATGGGATTACTAGAATGCACCCACATATAACCCAAAAACATTTCACTGTGCTGTTAAAGAGAGGTAATCTATCAATAAATAGACAAAGACTCAACTTGTAAAGATCATAATTTGTATTTTGCTCAATTAAAATAATAATTACAGCAAAAATCTAACAATAATGATGAGAGCGTCAAATTCATTAAAAATTCCTATAAGTGAAGGACTTAGTTTTCGTTTATTTCAGGAGCATGGTGCTCAAAAATTTATGCAAATTACTTACTGGGATTGATTTTTTGACTTATTAATGATCTGCTTCTTATACCCCTAGGTCACAGAACTGAAGTTCTACATGTATAGTGTTAATACGTTTTCTATGTTATAGCAAGAACTAATTTATAAATTAAAACAATATTAATTAGAATATGTAAATTAGATATGTGATATAATAATGATTAAACATATTGGTTTTTATATATATGATAAAAAATTATACATATATACAGATAATAATGTTGTTAGTGAAAGTCAAAATGAAAGTCACTCAGTATAGTTGAGACCCATGGATCTAATCCATATTATATTAAATATTATATATATTATATTACATATTATATTAAATAAAGTATTTGACAAATATGTTTTGATAGAAACATTTAAAACATGGCATTTTGAACAAAAAAGCTACACTCAGTTCTTTCTGCAGTAAATGAGATGCTTTTTTCTTCTTTAAACCTGCTAATAAATTTAAAGGATTACAATTTTATAACAATAGTTATATCTAAAAGTAAATTAATTTGCTAAAACCTTTAATTTTATTACTACGTTTTGTTATTGTTTACGAAGGAGTTTCACCGTTTAAAACAAATGTTATCGAATATTCTATTCAAAATATTTCAAATCGATATTTTAGAAGAAAAAAATTATCACTTATAAGAATGAATTAGTTACAATTTTTGACATCGTAAAATTTATATATGAACAAAATGTGTATAATAATTGGAATAATTATAATAATTTCATCAATAAAGATAAGACATAAATAAAAATTTATGTATACATTTTTTTTTGGCCTGAATTTTTTGCTGGCCTTAAGGCATGTGCCTTATTTGCCTAGGGGTTAATCCGGCACTGACCTAAGCGCAACTTCATGAGTGCCATTAAAATATAATCCCTTTTCAAATAAAAACTATTTACAAATGTAAATGACTGTTTACATTTAGAAATAATTTTTTGTTCATAAACTTTACTATGAGAATGCTTTTGATCTTTCCAAAAACGAATGGTATGTAAAAATGTTTTAAACAAACTAAAAATAGCTTCAAAAAAAGCAATTGAAGTTTATAATCTTATTTATAATATTGTTAACTAATCTCTAGGAAAAAATATTTTTACGCTTTACTGCATTTTTTATATTGTAAACTGATTATAAAGGCATTTGTCACTTTTACTTTAGTCGCATAACAGGTAATAAGTATAGATTTGCATTCACATTAGATACATATATTAGATAGTGGTAAATACATAAATACCTATGTTAACATAGATGATAAAGCATCTGCATTATAACTAACAATTAGAATTCCGGGCTAATACTTATTGCTATATAAGTATTAGCCCAGAAGTGATTGGGTTTTTTAATAAATATTTTGTAGATATTTTTCTCTATTTATATATATGCATATATATATATGTATATATATATATATATATATATATATATATATATATATATATATATATATATATATATATATATATATATACATATATATATATATATATATATATATATATATATATATATATATATATATATATATATATATATATATATATATATATATATATATATATATATATATATATATATATTTGTACATAATTGTCAAATAATTGTGTTATTTCGTGCATGCTGCACATACAAACTTATAAAGAACGCATGATTTGAACTCTACAGAATGAGGATTCTTTAGTAAAAACATAACAAAGTTATGGAAAGAGGTAAAAAAAAAACTTTTTGTTTTTATTACTTCTTGTTTTTTGGATTCAGATTATTATAATGATTCGAAGAAATAATTTTTTGGTAAGATAAGAATTATCAATTGTGTATAAGCCAAGACGGATACACATTTCTTTTGAAAATATTAAAAAGTTTATTAATGAAAATATAAAAAAGTTTAGTATTATTAATTTTAAAGGTTTTATCAATTATACATTTATATATACTTACCTTGTGAGAAAAAGAGATGAAACTACAAAAGTATCAAGACCTGAATTGTTTACCTTGCGTATATCAATGATCAAAAAAAATCCTTTACCATTTTTATGGTAAAAATAATGAATTTTATTGATATAGTAAAGAAACTGGAATGCGTTTTTAGATAGAAATGATTCTATAGATAGAAATGCGGCCAAAAAGTTTTCAGCATTTTTTTTTTTAAAATACTCGCTTGACTCCATTGAATGATATTAGGCAATTTTTTTTTTTAAAAGAACTTATAAGTAAATTAGCAAGAACCAAAGCTACTTATGAGTCCATAGCAACGCTAGCATGCCAACAAAAAATGCTTCAATAATTATTATAATGATTATTTTATATTTTAGATATTAAACTCTACCTCCAATAAATTCAAGCTTAAAGTTAAGAAAATTTGCTTATTGAATGAAAAAATTCAGAATTGAACCGCTATAAAATATTTCTTTTCACATAATAGTTACTATTTTAAAAATTGTTAACATTTTTCAAAATATTTTAATATCTTTTTTATTGTACTTTTTTTTTTGCTACTGGCTTTTTTGTCATAATTTTAAAAAATTGTAATTTAAGCTATTTCAAAAATTTTATTTCAGACCATGATAGCTATTTAATACTTAAGAAGTTTCGGTTTCATAAACGTTTTAATAACGTTTTTATTTAGTAAATATTCTTTAAAGTTTGTGTTTTATTATAATTGTTTTTTCGATTTGTTATAAATTTTATTTTTTTGTGTTGCTTTTAATTTTAATTCTAATAGTTACCGAAAGCACGGAAAGAAACGGTAAAAAAATAAAAGCCTTTTTGCGTGAAATTCTTTAAGTTATGGGTAATATACCAAGCATAACACTTCAATCAAATATCAATTTGGTTAAAACAGCTCAAGCTGAGTATGATTTTCTTCGTCTTGTTGACAAATATCCTGCTTTGTATTGTAAAAACGTGTTAAAAAATGCGTTATACCGTTATGAAAATTACTGGCTACCTCTTCTTGCAAAGTACGATCAAGCTGTAATTGCTCCACTAGATATTGAATGGGTTTGGCATTTGCATATACTAAATCCAGCAGCATACAACAAAGATTGTAAAAAGCTTGTTAATAAAGTTATTGATCATGTTCCTATGTTCTTAGCTCTAGATACTCATAGTATTTCACTAAAATACTGGTCAGAAGAATATCCTAATGTAGACTATCAAGTTGACTTATCTGATATAAATCCTTTACTTATATCTACTGAACCATTTAAATGCTCATATGATATTGTATCTGCTGCTCAACGTCACAAAATTTTCAGCTATAACGTTTTGTTTCCGCATTTCAGAGACGTCAATTTTTTGGAAAATGCGGTGAAACGCTATTTTATTATGCTTTCCATAAAACGTGACCATCGACAAACGGTCGTTGTGCCATGCTATGACAATGATTTAGTTTGGCATGGTCATCAGCAGCATGTGTTATATTATAATGTTGATATGAAATCAATTTTGGGAGAACCTCTTAATCACGATGATACTGGTTTTGATAGAAGTGAAGGGACTCAACTTCAAAATAAAATGAACGAAACAAAAGAGTTATGGCAGAAGTATTCGTCAAATTATACAATTAACGGTGGAATGTATCGTGGCGAACCTCTAATACCCAATTTGAATATAGAAAAGTACTATTACAGTCGATTGATTTTAAAAGTAAGCTTTATTATATCTGTTAATTTATTTACTATTCGTATAACTTTTATTTAATTTATATATTTTTTCTATTAAGCAAAGTGTATCGATTTAAATAATTAAACAATTTAGAATGATTGAATTATTCAAGGGTAAACACAGTGTAAATAAACGTGAGCATACACGTTTTCAAGCACGCACACATACACTCGCGCGTAAAAAAAAATTGGAAAGCAGAACAAACTAATTAAACCTCGTTATATCTATCACTGTTTTTTGTATATCTCTATTCTGTATATATCTTTATTGCTCTATTTTCTGACTTAATAGCTTAACTACTTTTATTCTCTTAGCCTTATCTAGATGCAACTTTGTGTTAGTGGAGGAGTTGTTATAAACCCCAAAGCATGCGAATTTCAAATTATTAATAGTTTTCTAAGCAACATAGTCAACTATTTGGGCATTTGACACAACTTAGTGAAGTGACTTTTAGTTTTAAGTACCTTTTTTTAGTTTTAAGTACCTTTTTTTTTCTTTTAGTTTTAAGACTTTTAGTTTTAAGTACCTTTTTTTTCAGAAAGCAGTCGGCACTTTTAAATTTCTGCTCTCATTTTAATTCTAGAGTTGCTTATGACCATATCTAACTTCATTTATACTCTAACTAAAAAAAAAAATTGTTTCAGGAATTAAGTCAAGACTCTCGCTAAAATAATGCTTCCTTGACCATGAGCTAAATGTGATTGAGTGTTTAAATGGAATTATTTGCACACGCTGTCCTAAATCTAGTTACTGTAGCAAAAAAATACTTACAATTGGTGTGTGTTCTGCTATCATAAGTCTTAATGATGGTATTAATTGTATTGAAAATGTTTTGATTGTTTTAGTGTTCCACTTGAAAGTTTTTTTTGAAAAATATGCATTAAAAAGTGGCCGTATTAGAGCTTTAACTCATTGTAAATAGTAATCTAATATTTTAAAAACACATGGAAAAGTAAAAATAGTTTGCATACACGTTCAGCAATTTTAAGTTAAGCAAAAACTTTTTTTTTTGAGTATTTCAATTATCTTTTGTTATCTATGTGACATTTATTCAAAAAATATTTAGTTTTGAAGGAAAAGCATATGACCACAGTTGTGAAATTGTGGTTATTTAATATATAAATATTTAATATATAAATTTTAATTAAAAGACTTTAGATATAATTTTGAAACTTAAAATCTTAAATTTAGTTTTGAAGCTATGTAAAACAGTTAGTAAAATACAAATTAGTCTTAAAAGATAAATGTAAAGTTAAGTTTCAAAGCAATGTAAAATAATTTTTCAATATTATTAAAGAAATTTTTTTCTAATGACTTGCTGTGTAGAGTTTCTCCATTATAGATTAAATTGTCAAAATGCAAAAAAAAATTTTTTATAACAGCCTTTAAAAATCTGTTAAAAAATACACGTTTTCATCAATTGGACTAAAAAAGACAAAACATTTTTTTCTTAAGATTTTGCCCATTTGAGTTCAATTTTTTAAACTGCTTTTTAGAAATTCTAAAAACTTTCCATTTTGTAAATTTATTGAAAAAGTGGGACTTACACATTAACTGAGGAGAAAATCATGAAATTAGGACGATAATGAAGGTAAAACAATTTATAGGAAAAAAGCAATATTCCATTGAAGAGGGCTTAATAACTAATTTGGACATTTTTGCTTAAGAGAATTTTTTTCAAAAATGAGTTAAAATTTTTTTGTTTCTTATTAATTTTTTAAATTTGTTATAAAAAAACTTATTAAATTCGTTTTAAATAAACTTAATAAATTTGTTATAAATAATCTTATTAAATTTGTTACAAATAAACTTATTAAATTTGTTATAAATAAACTCACTAAATTTGTTATAAATAAACTCATTAAATTCTAAAAACTTTCCATCTTGTAAATTTATTGAAACGTTATAACTTGTTATAAATTAACTTATTAAACTTATTTTATTCTTCTTATCTTAACAGTTAACTTTTTTATTTAATAGTTAAGTTAAAAAGAATACAAAAAGTTTAATTAAACTCTCACTAAATTACAAAAGGGAGATTCACGATATATTTATCTATCTATCTATCTATCTATCTATCTATCTATCTATCTATCTATCTATATATATATATATATATATATATATATATATATATATATATATATATATATATATATATATATATATATATATATATATATATATATATATATATATATATATATATATATATATATATATATATATATATATATATATATTTAAATATATATATAATTTAGTAAAAACACATATCTAATTTTTGTGCTCTTCAACAGCATGTTTTACCATCAGTAGGTTCATCAGGAAGCTTCCTGATGAAACTACTGATGGCGAAACATGCTTTTGAAGAACACAAAAATTATATAAGTGGTTTTACTAAATTATTATTACTCTGTTCTTTAAGAACATTGAACACTCTATTTGTAGAATACACTAGCATAGTTTATATATATATATATATATATATATATATATATATATATATATATATATATATATATATATATATATATATATATATATATATATATATATATATATATATATATATATATATATATATTTATATATACTTATCATAAGAAAAAGTACCAATGACGGTATCAGGACATAAGATATGAAAAGTCCTATTTAACAAAAGCATTTAACTTTTTTATCTATATATTTTTAAGTAAATATTTTGTTTTAAATAATTTAATTACATACTATGATATTAATTACACGAGTAATGAACAATATTGGTACAATATTGTTAATACAGTTTTCATACTGTAAACAATATTGTGCAAATATTATTTGCTACTCAGGTATTATTTATACAATTATCATATAACCAAAATTATTTTTTAAATCTAACTATAAAATTCTAGTGTGTTATTGATACTGTTTTTACCATATTTTAATTTGTTGTTGTCTTTACTCTAATAGCGTTGGGGATCATCATTTCATTTTAAATCCTTTTCCATAAACGGTGTTTCGTTAATTGGTGTTCTAGACGTCATTAATCTTGATGTTGTTGTTAAAATAACTGTAAAAAATAATGCGAACAAAGTTGCAGAGTTTTGCAAAAAGTACACAACCTCTAATGGAGCACTTCAAGTTGTTCATACTTTAGGTACAAAATACAAGGTTTTGGTTATTATTGTTACTGTTAATACTTTTACTATTTTTACTGTTGTTATTAGTATTACTGCTATATTACTATTATATTTATTAGAATTTTTGTTATTGAGATTACTGTGAGCTTTATTTGATTTCCAGGAGAGGCATCTTTTTATTTAATATCAGATTTAGTTTATGATGTTGATATCGTTTGCAATTACCCTTCAATATCAAAAGAGTTTTCTGGTAAAATCACTCATTTACGATGGGATAAAATGTATTATATAATTGATTTAAAATGCCAATCAAATAAAGAATCAATAACGTTTAAAGTATCGTCATTTTTGAACAATTATGAAAGATTTGAAGAAAATATATTTTATACAAAAGGAAACTACAAAGTTTTTCAATCGCAACTGAAAGATGCAATTAATTCTTTCCCAATGTTGTTCCCGAGTTTAGATTTTCATACTTTTTCAAATCTTAAATGTGAATACACAAAAAATTTCTTAAAAGCCGATGATAGTAATCGTTTAACTTGGAAAGTTATACATTCAAAAGATCCTCCATTATCTGTTATAGAAATTCGCGATAATTTTGGAAAAATAATTGCAACTTCACACTCTGTAGATAGCTCATCACTTCCCACTAAAAAACAAGTCTCAAATTTGTATAAAAGTTTTACTTTAGATCCTCGTTTTGAAAGAGCAATGTTAATACGGGGAACAATGAAAGACTGGGGTTTAATAAAAGCTTGTTGGAAAGGTTTTAAATACTCGAAATCCGTCGTAAATGCAAAACGTGGAAAGCTAGATGTTCAATTGTTTATGTTAAACGGAGTAGAATCAACTTTCGTAAATGTGAAGTCATGTGAATTAGGTTTAGAGTTTATTATAAACAATTCGATTACTGTAAATTTGAGCTCAGGATTTATTTCTTTATCTAAAGACTTAAAAGATGTACCACAATGTTTATGCGTTGGTATATCTATTGCTGTCTTATTTGTTCTCTGCCAACCCAGACCAGCACCACAAAATGGTATTTATAATGATTCTCCATCAAGTTTAAACTTAAATTCTATGTACATATTACGTGGAGCAGGGTTATATTCGAATTTACTTCCTAGATCTTATCACCGAATTTATCGTGATAAAAAATTTTACCAAGACTTAAACATGGAATTAATAACCAATACCAATTTTGCAACAGAATGGGTTTAAGATGCAGGGCCTTGTAGAGGATGTGGAGGGGTGGAAGTGAAGGCGGAGGTAAATGTGAAGAAGGTGGAGGTAAAGGTAAAGGTGAATGTTGAGGATGATGTGGAGATTGATGACTAGACTCGCGTTAAAAGTTATGCTGTATCATACGTAATAAATTTTTTTATAATTGAATATTATTTTTTTTAAACTTTATATATCTTTTTTAATTTAAACTAAAATTGATATATCTTTATAAATATATATATATATATATATATATATATATATATATATATATATATATATATATATATATATATATATATATATATATATATATATATATATATATATATATATATATATATATATATATATATATATATATATATATATATATATATATATATATATATATAAGTAAATATAATATAATATAAATAACTAAACCAGAAAATATTTAGAAACTTAAATAAAGTTCAAAAAAAAAAAAGATAAACTGCTTGCCTTAGCCAAACCCTCATTCAAAATACCGGTTCTTCCTTCTATCAGCAGGCTATAAGGTAATCAATGTAGCAGCATTCAATCGTAGCAGTAGGCTATAAGATAGTTAATAAAGCAAAACTTCGAACTTGTTTTACAGTAAAAAGCAAATCTGTTTGCATGTTTTACCTATTTTTTCAGTCAATGGAGCAATACTCCTTGCATGTTTTTAAAATTTTATAACACAAAAAAAAACAGAAAACTTTTTATGAAAGTTTTTTTTTTTGGTCATTATTGTTGCTTCTTTTTAAAAAACATTACAATTTACAACATAATAACATAAAAAAGGTTTCGACCGAGGGTACCGGGGGTACCGGGCGAACCGGGCGAACCAGGGCTGGCAGAAGACGAGGTCTTATCATCTAGCCCCGTTAATATAACTGAAAAGTTCAGCCGACAAAAATTAAAAAAAAAAAAAAACTAAAGTGATAAAAAAAAAGGAAAAAAATTAACTAACTATATTTAATTTGTTCTACTTTTATTTTATTATACACGCACGCACACACACACTCGCGCGCGTACATGCAAACATATGTCAGTTCATATATACATACAATACCAAAAAATCTGTTTTATATTCTAGCTACAAACTGCGTAAGATATAATAAAAATTGCATTTAAAAACTTTGTTTATATTATAAAGTAAAATATTATCATACATGTTACAAAATATATGTACAACCCTATGTTGCGCATATATGTTGTTACATATAAAGGTTGTACATATATGCACAACCTTTTGAATAAAAAGAATACCTTCGGATGAAAAAAAGCTTAAGAAACAATACAGTTATCTCCTTCTATAATTTAATCAAGACGCCATCTATGTGTTCTAGCAGTATTTAAAAACAGATGAGAATGATACTGTAGTCAATAAGAAAATTGATATTGCAGAGAAATTTAATAATTATTCTTTAAAAATTGGGGAAAAACCAGCTTATAACGAAATTCCTGGAAAAAAATGTTTTAAATCGTATCTAGAAAAAAAAGACTCAGTCATGAACGAGCTTGATATAACTCCGGATGAACTTAAAAATGTATTAAATAGCATACACCCAAACCAAAGTCCAGCACTAGATGACATTAGCGTGAACGTTGTAAAAAATGTCTACCGTAATATTGAATATCCCTTTCTACATACCTGTAATGTGTCTATAAAAAATGGGATATTTCCTGATCAGCTAAAGCTAGCTAAAGTTGTTTCTATAATTAAAAGTGGAGATAATTCGATTGCTTCTAACTACAGACCTATTTCTATTTTACAATGTGTTTTCAAAAATATTAGAACGCATAATGCCCAACAGACGAAAAGTCTGATGGGCATTATGCGTTGTAAATGCAATATTTGTTATATCTAACGCAATTTGTAGATAGAATATAAAACAGATTTTTTGGTATTGTAAGTATATATGAACTGACATATGTTTGCATAAAACTATCTAGTAAATCACTACCTACTAAATAGTAACCATTATGGTTTTTAACATCATTCAACATCATTCAACAGAACACGCGGTAGCCAAACTTGTTAACGAAATTTTAAATGGATTCGACAGTAATAAATACACTCTTAAATAATTTCTTGATCTTTAAAAAGCGTTTGACAAATTTCATCTCGAGATTTTTTGTAAAAAACTGTATACTTATGGAACAAGAAATAATAATTTAAAATGGTTTCACTCTTACTTTAATAATCAGATATAAGCTTTATCATATAACAATACTGTAACACAACTTAAAAGTATTACTTGTAGGGTTCCACGAGGAATAATTCTTGGTCCATTATTATTCCTCGTTTACATTAACAATATCTGCTTATCTTCTAACATACTAAAATTTGCTATTTCTGCTGATGATACGCAAGTATTCTTTAGCCATACAAATATTTTGAAAAAAGTAAATATACTCTTTTTACAAAATGAACAAAATCTGAAACCCTCCCCATAAAACTACTTTTTTATCTATTTTCTAATTGATAAAACTAAACTTAAACGAAAATATTCAATTAAGTTTTTGGGCTTAACTCGCAATGAACATATTAGCTGGAGTAATCATATCAAAGTAATAGAAAATAAAACATCTAAAATTGTTTGTATCATGTATGAAACAGACCACTACTAAAAGAAATGGGAGTGCCTAATGTCTATGAAATAAATTTTCTTAACAAAATTCATTTTATGTTTAAGTTTAAAAATGCTAGAAAGCGTTTTCCAAACTTACTTTTTTTCTTTAAACCACAAATACTAAACTAAATACTCAAATAATAACTTTAATATACCAAAAACAATATCAAATAAAGGTGATTTTTCGATATCTTGCCGAGGGCCGCGGTCCCTGAACTTGATTTTAACACGTAATATAAAAATTTTAACTTTAACTCAACATTTTTAATGTGAAGCAAAATAACACTTATGTGATTTTTTTTTGCACGATACAAAGCAATTGCAATCCTATTATTAAAAACTTTTGTTAATCTTAGTTATTTAATGTATTATAAATTGATGCAACCCCAGGAAAAAAAGTTCTATAGAATCTTCTATACACTTTTGAAACATATGGCCTATAGAAACTTTATAGAATATCTATTAATTTCTATAGAACTTGTTATAAAACTTTTTTTCTTCAAAAAAAAAAAGTTATAGAAATTTCTATAAAAAAAAAATTCTAAAGAAATATTTAATATTTCTATAAAAAAAAATTCTATAGAAATTTCTATAGAAATTAAAAGAGATTCTATAGAAATTCAATAGAATTCTATAGAATTTCTACAGGCCATATATTTCAAAAGTTTATATAAAATTCTATAGAACTTTTTTCCTGGGACATCTTTAGTTATATTGTATGGTACTTTGTTCTAAATAAGGAAGACTTTGAAGCGTGCCTTTAAGTTCTTGTTCCTCTATCCCTATACTTTAAAAAAACATCTTAACTTGATTTCTGGGTTTTTTTTCTAGCCGTTCTTTTTAAAATTTTTATTTTTGGAGACTAGTCTTCAATATTATAATCCGAGTTGTCTGAAGAAAATGCTATAAAGGTTTCCTCTAATCTAAGAACTCCAAACTTGTGTTTCTATGGTTTTTTGTGAATTATCCACACAGTGTCAGCAGCAATTATATACAATTTTGAAAGATTTAAAATAACAATTGTTCTGTATTTATTTTGCATTTAGAAATGCTCTGAAATAAAAATTTTTAAATGAATTTATACTTGTAATATAAGAAATAAAATGTAAAATTTGTTAACCCAACACGCTGCCAAAAACATTTATGAAAACAAATATCTGTTGCTCTTCTATAAGAAGACATTGAAAGTGTATGTCTGCAAACACCGCTCCACAAAAAAATAAAAATAATAATAATTTCTTATAAGGATTGCCTTCCTAGTTTACATTAATATTTTACGGCTTGAGCGGAGGCAGACTTCTTTCAATAGCCCTTAATCAAATGTTCTTTTAACAGTTCCCAAACATAAACAAAGTGTCCAGTAGTGATATCCTCGTACTAAAGCTTTAACATTGCAATGGCAGGCTTTTCAAAGAAAATTTCTAATTCCTTCATTTGTTTTAACTGATATGATTGTACAAAAAACTTCCCTTTTGGATATTTTACCTCCAGTTGTTCACGGAATTGTAAAAGACGCTCGAGCATTTTGAACGTGTATGACCATCAAGTTACGTTGTTTATAACTGCCACCTATATTAAAGAATTTTTTAAATCTCGAAATAAAGAAAATGAAAATTAAAAAAAATTATTTTATGAAAAAAAACATGTAAATTTGATTTATGTATATATTAAAAAATATCTGACGTAATTACTATAAAAGGTCTCGTATGTTCTATTGGTGCCAAGTTCTATTGGAATTGGAGCACGATACGCATTTACAACCTTGCGCATGCGTTTAGGAATTGTTTTGATTATAGAGTCTTTCATTAGATTGGTGACAGCAAATTAAAGTGTGTGGACACCACAATGTTAAAAAAAATTGTGTTTATGTTTTTTAAAATTTCATCAAAGTAAACATCATTTTGCTCCTCAAAAAAATCAATTTTCCATTTAAATCACTTTTCAAATGAGACTGCTTTTTTTCGGCCAAAGTTTTAATTTGATAACAAATACTTTCACGGCTTATATTTATGCCAAACCTTTTCGCCAAATTACGGTTAAAATCACTACTATTCCCTCTCCAAAACACAGTGGTTTAAATGGTGGTCATGAGTAAGATATTTTTGCTTTTTTGAAATTAATAATTAACTTAGTTTTTATATATTTAAATAGCTTGCAGATTTAAGCTGAAAAAATAAAAGTTAAAATTTTTGTCTATTTAAAAAGATACAGCCATGCAAACTTGAACTATTTGGAAAAAAAAAAAAGAACTTTAAAACTCAACAGAGGTTTTGATTATAATGGTGAAAAAAAAAACATTATTGATCTAAAACTTGAAATATTATTATTTATTTATTAGGGATAAAGCGCCTACATAAAAAAAACATTTTTCTTGCTAATAATAATAGTATTTCAGTTAGAAAATTGGATAATTTTTATGAAAGTTGTATAAAAACTGTGAATTTTTATACATAGTTTGGCTGCAGTTTTTGAGCATTTCAGTCATTATCTAAA